GTGTGTGTGTGTGTCTGTGTGTGGTGTCTCTCTGTCTCTGCAGGACACAAAGCCAGTGTTGGTGAGGACAGCGAAGGCAGCCTTCAGAAGAGAAAAAGGAGAAAGCGGAAGAAGAGCCACGTCCAACCCAACACCCGCGGCCCCAGTGATGCAGCCTCCTCCCTCACACACAGAGGGACCGGCGAGCCTGGGTCGGGGAAACCCGCATCCAGCACCGGGGCCCAGGGTGGCCTAGAGGGGTTCTGCTCCACCCCTGGGCACAGTAAGAGGAAGCGGCAGAGGAAGAAGAGCCTGGGGCTGCAAGGGCAGATCTGCGAACCCACAGTGATGCCCCCAGAGGACTGCGGGCATCCTCCAGCCCCTGCCACCCGAGCTTCCCCAGCAGACGGAGGCCAGGTCCCAAAAAGAAAGCGGAAACTCGGCGCTCTCCTGGCCAACAGCAGTGGACTGGCCACACTGGCCTGGCCTCAAGCACAGAAGGAAGGAGACGATGGCCAGGCCACCCTGCCCCCGTGCAGGAGGCCTCAGCACAAGAAGGTGGAGCCAGGGAACCTTGACCTCTACTTGCTCTCCAGCCGGAAGGCCGCAGCCTCTAAGAAGAGGAAGAAGACGAAAGAGGTGTCCTACTCGGTGGAGAACAAGGGTGTCCTGAGGGCCAGGGTCCGGCAGTTTGAGGCTCTGGTAAGGGGGTCAGGACCTGTCCTTGGGCCACCGCTGCCCCGGGGGGTGGAGGCTGGGGGCCGTCAGGCCTGGCCTGGCAGTGGTGCAGCAGGCGGGATATGCCGTGGTACATGGCAAGTGCCGACTCGGGCCACGCGCACGCACTCGCGAGGTCAGGAAGGTCAGCGTGGAGCTGGGGTCCCCGCTGGGCCTGGCAGGGGACTGGCCCCATGGCCCCTGGCAGAGACGCCCAGAATGCCTGTCTGGTAGCACAGGCAGTTCCCGAAGCAGTAGGCCAGGTGAGCATTAAGTGACGGAAGTGTGCCTCTGCTTCAGGCAGCTCCAGCTGGAGCCCCAGCCGGCGCCGCCCTACCCTTGGCAGCCAGTTTTAGCTTTTCTCTCTCGGTGGCACAGTGTTGCCAGTGGGAACCCACAGGAGGGCACCAGAGCTGCAGAGGGTGGTAGTGGGCCTGCAGCCAGGAGGAGCCAGGTCCGCACTGGGCTTCCCAGACGCCCCAATGTCACTCACCCAGCCAGGGCTGGGTCCTTGCTTTGAGGACTCACTCTGCTTCTGGGAAGGGACCTACGGGGCCTCTTTTGAGACAGGGTCTCACTGTGTAGTTCAAGCTGACCTCAAACTCGTAGCCTAGGGTGGCTCACTGTGATCCTCCTGCCTCAGCCTCCCCAGTTCTGGGATTGCAGGTGTGTGCCACCACGCCTGGCTGATCACAGTTGACAAGATGAATTATTTAACAGGTGGACTTTGAAAGGCAAATGTTGAAAACACAGGGCCTAAGTTTGAAGGTAAAGATAATAAAAGTAGATTTTGACTGCAAGGAGACATTTCTGTCCCTGGCTGGGCTAGGGGGAGCAGCGGTTGTGACGTCTGAGGAGTCTGCACCCTGCTCAGGCCAACAGAGTCAGTCGGGGCAGGAAACAGCAGCTTGGGATGGGGGCTGCACCCACCCCGCAGCCCTGGCAGCACTTTGGTGTGTGTGACATGCACCCTCCTTACAGGGAAGCAGCGGAGCTCTCGCCCCTTTGAAGAAACCTCTGAGGCCGGAGAATGACTTCGTGAAGTTCAACACCCCCGTCTTACCAAAGCCCCTGTTCTTCAGGAAATCAAAGAGCACCGCTGCCGCCCGCCCTCCGGGTCCTGCTGTCCAGGTGTGCCCTCGACGGCGTCCCCCACCCACGGGGCGTAGAGCGGGCCCCCGGGGAGCCAGTCTGCGGCCTGGTGGCGTCTCCCTCCCTTCCTGGGCCGGTTGTACCCCGCTTTGTGCAGGTCTAAGGTGTGGTGGCCATGCACATCCACCCCCATGGTGGGCCTGAGCTTTCAGAGCCAGTTCCATGTGAGTGTGATGGTGTCACACGGGAGAATGCGATACACGTGAGAGTCAGACAGACGAACAGTCGGAGGGAGACCGCACTTCAGGGTGCAGAATGGCTCAGCTCCCAGGGATTTTCTGAATGGGAACAAAAGTGATTTTTCCCTCACCTTAAGCCACCTCCCCAGCCCCTTTGTTATTCTGAGACAGGGTCTCAGGTAAGTCAGCTGTCCAGGCTGGGCTGGGCCTTTCCATCCTCCTGCCTCAGCCTCCCAGTGTGCTGCAGGCTGGGAAGTCTGGTGGCAGGGTCCTGGTGGACCTTGGGGCAGAGAGTTCCAGACAGCGGATCTGTCCCTGACCCTTCCCATCTGTGGGTGAGTTCAGGGCAGTAATCCCAGGTCCTGCAGGGCCTCCCTCCTGGGCAGATTCTTGGAAAATCTCCGGGAGACAAAGCGCCTCACTTGCCGGGTGTTGCTCCTGCTGCTACTCTGAACTTCTCTCCTGCAGCTGAACAAAACCCCGTCCAGCTCCAAGAAAGTCACCTTTGGGCTGAGCAGGAACATGACCACAGGTGAGTGTGTGCGCTTCTGGAGGTGCCTCCCAGCCACGCGCCACAGGCCTTTACCTGCTGTGGGGTCCACACCTGAGAGGTCACCTGGAAGAAGCCCAGAGCCAGGTACCCAGACACCTCCGTGCTGGGTCAGTCCGTCTCACGGGCCGATAGGGACGCCCTGCTCCCTCCACTGTATCTGCTCTGCTAAAACATTCAGGACCACCTGTGTGCTGGGAGGGACGTCCCCCTTCTGCTTTGGGAGCATCTAATGAGTTCAAGCCTGCCCTGGGCACGCGCGTGAGGCACAGCACAGGCACGTGTCTGGCGAGCTGGGGTGCATGGAGGTCGGGGAGCAGCTCGCCAGCACGGCCCATCTCAGGCCCCATCCCCAGGGCCCTGCTATCGGCTGCCCTCGGTGTCCCCGCCCCCTTCTTGCTGCCTTCCTCTGGGGCCTGCGGGGTGAGAAGGGCCAGGTGTCATACTAACGGGCCCTGCTCTCCCTTGAGACAGAGTTCAAGAAGACAGACAAGAGCATCCTGGTCAGCCCCACGGGCCCCTCCCGAGTGGCCTTCAACCCCGAGCAGAGGCCCCTTCACGGGGTGCTGAAGATGCCCAGCAGTTCGCCTGCCAGCACCATCCTGGGGAGCAGGATGCCACTGGGCACCACTCCCAAGAGGAGGCCGACGGCCATGGACTTCTTCTGAGTGCCCAGAGCCCCTTTTTACAGACTGCTTTTATACAAAGGATCTATAAATTATAGCTTTCAAAACACAAGCCTTTTTATTGTTTGTAAACCCTGTGGATTGTGCTCAAGGTGCTGAACAGGGACACAGGCTGTGTCCCATCTGTTGTACTTTTTGCTGCAAACACTCGTGAGTCCCTGAGACTGCCGTCTTGGGCACCTCAGCTATGGCCACCATGTAGGAACAGACCAAGCGTGAGCAGAGGACGCCTCTGCCACACACCGGACCCACTCAGGCATTTTAGCCTCGCATCTGGTCCTCCTGAGCTGGTGGACCTGATTCCCTGCTCTGGGGGGTCTCGGCAGCTCTGACAGCAGGGACTGAAAACCCATCAGCAGCTCCGTAGCTTTTCCATCTGTCATCAGCAGGGAGCTTTTCCTCTTGCCCTTCCCTGCCCCTCCCTGTCTTCCGACCTCTACAGCAAGCCCCAGGTGTCTCGGGAGGCCGTGTCCCCCTCTCCTTGGCCTCCCACCCTGAGCCCCTGTGGAGACCTGGGTCATTGGGCACCCAGACCCAGTGACAGGGTACCTGCCGTGGGTCAGAGCATCTGCACCTTGAGCTCTCACCAGGCAGGAAGTTGCCTTCCAGAAGTGGGCACATGTATTTGTCCATGGCCACAGCTGCCTGTTATCCAGACACAACACTTGCATATAGGTTTTCATACAGCTCTTCTCATCTGCGTGATCGGGGTGGAAGGTGCTTAGGCTTTGGTTGAAGAAGCTAAAGTCTGACTTTCATTTTTTAGAGTATAAATCACTGGATTCTTGGTTTTATTCCAGGAAATTACCTTGAACTCAAGAGATGGACACAGGACAGGTTCAGAGCCAAGAGGCCATGTGGGCATAGTCAGTGAGGCTGGGCCCTTCCTCTGTGGCTTTCTTTTCTTTTTTTGTTGTTTGTTTTTTTGAGACAGGAACTCACTGTAGTTCAGGCTGACCTGAATTCACTCTGTAGCTCAGGCTGGCCTTGAATTCACAGCGATCCTCCTGCCTCGGCCTCCTAGTACTGGTATTACGAGTGTGCACCACCATGCCCAGCCTTTCCTCCATGGCTCATGCAATTAGAAATTCAAGATGGAAGTCACAGGGTACGTGGTATGGGCTCACAGCTGCACTGCCAGCCCTACCCTGTTCTGTTCAGGAGATCCTGTGGCCTTACCCGCTTCATCCCTTCCCACGGGAGCTGCCATTTTTCCACACAGCCCCCACACTGCTCCCCAACAGAGGACCCCATGGCTTTGCTGACAGGGCAGTGACTGTTTCCGGTCCCCCGAGACCCAAGGGTGGGCGTCACGCGTGCGGGGAGGAAGGACTTCAGGTGCTGGGCTACCTGACCTCCATGCGGAGGAGCAGTCTTTCTTCCTGGCTTCTCTGGTGAAGCTTCGTCGTACTCAGCCATGAGAAGGAACTGCCGACATGCTGTGAAGCTGTCCTGGGAGTTTTCTGGCCGTTTATCCTGCCCTGAGAGATGGGCCACGTGAACGGCTGGGTCCTGACCAGACGTGGAAAGGCAGCCGTCCCGTGGTTCGAGGACAGTGCAGGAGCTGTTCTCACAGCGCTCTGGTGACCTGGCTCCTGCTGAAGTCACCCCGTGGGGCAGGTCATTGGCACAGCACGGGTCAAACCCAACTTCCTTCTGTGCATAAGTCAGTGCTTCCTGAGCTTTAAAAAAGTTTTAGGAGTACATTACTTTTCATGCCTAAATTCTGGCAACAGGAGAATTTTTTTTAAGCTTAGCTACACACAACACAAAAAGAACTTATCACACAAAGGAGATGTGTTGAGCAAACCAGTTTGCTGTGTGATGCATGCGATTTTCCTCAGTAAAGTTGCTGAGAGGACTTGGAGGTTCAAAAGCGGAAATAAGTTCACGCTGGCGTTCGGACAGCAGTACACGGTCGCGTGCTTGCCTCCCCTCTGCTTGTACAGTTTGATGCCCAGACTGGGCAAATTTATTATCCTTTCATTTCCTGAGCTAAAAGCACAAGAAAGAACATAAACTCTGGAAGCGATCACTGGGGGGAATGAGACTGGGTGTGCCTTTTAATTTTTACGTGTTCTCTCTGCTTTACCTTTTCAGACAGTGGCCTGCGCTGAAATTGTGTTAGCATCGGTGTGCTGTGTTGGTTTTCATCAAAGCCCTTGGATTTGGATTTGATATTGGCTGTTTGGGGCTTTTGTTTTTTGGGTTCCCCCCCTCCCCCAGTTATTTTGTCTTATGGTACTGGGGGTGGAACCCAAGACCTTTGCACTGAGCTACATCCCCAGCCATTTTTTATTTTGAGACAAGGTCTAGCTGGATTATTATGTTGCTCAGGTTGGGCTCAAACTTGTGATCCTCCTGCTTCAGCCTCCCAAGTGCTGGGATCACCAGCCTGTACCACCACACCTGGTGAATTTTGAGTTATTGTAGATGAGCTGACAGAGAAAGCACCCACAAAACTGAAGATTGAGGGCCGGGCAGTTAGCTTGGTGGTTCCACCACCTGCTTTGAAAGCACAAGGTCCTGAGTTCAATCCCCGGTACCAAAAAAACCAACAAACTGAACATTGAGTTGACAGAAACTGTTAACAAGCTGGGCTCAGTGCAGCTGTAGTCTCGGCTGCTCAGGCAGAGGCAGGAGGCTCACTTGAGCCCAGGAATTCAGGACTGTGAGACCCAAAACAGCCTCTGAGCTCAGGATGGTGTAAAGTTCTCCAGCGCAAAGGCAAGCTCCAGTAGAGCGGGGAGGAAAAACATTCAGAAGGTAACAGCCGGGATCTGCCAAGTTAGGCCAAAGAATAGTGATCCTGTGCATCCAAGAGACTCGGCACCTGTCAAAAGAACAGCTGAGGGGTGAGATATTGAAGATTCTAGGAAAAGCAGGCACTGAGGCCTGGATCCCAGCTTTGCAGGAGGCTGAGGCAGGAGGATCATGAGTTCCAGGCCAGCCTTGTTATTTCACAAGACCTTAAAATTTTAAAAGGGCCGCCGGGATGCATGCAACACAAGGCCCTGGTCCCAGCCCCAGTATCACACACACGCTGTACCAGGGCCTGCTCTGCCCCCGGCCCTCTGGCGCTCCATCTCCTCTCCCGGTCTGGTCTGGCTCCATTCCTCTTTACCTTGCCCTTTTCCGCAGGCCCTGTGTTACCCTCTGCAGAACTCTGTAATTTACCGTAGATCTTTCCGTTTTGTGTCTCATCATTTTTCACATCTTGGTGCGTCTGGCTCCCATATTTTGCTTCAAATCCATTTTCTCATTTAATAATACTTGTTTCTCATATGAGTAATCTCTTGCTGAGCCTATTTGCTGAGTATTGGATTGAATTTTGTTGTACTTTTCCCTCCATTGCTCACCACTTTCCTCTTGACTAATAATCTCTTGTACTTTCTCATCACCTTTTTTAGAGTCTTTATGTTAGGGAGAACATGAAATACTTGTATTTCTGAGTCTGGCTTTTTTCGCTCAACATGATCTATAGATCCTCCATTTTCACACTAAGGACAACATGTTCTTTGCAGCCGAATACTACTCCCTGTGTTCGTTCATCTGCATACGGGCACCGAGGCTGGTTCCAGACCTGTGCTCCTGTGGGCTGTGCCACAGGCGTGCATGTGGGTGTTCACGGGATGTGCTGGTATTGATTCCCCTGGTCATATACCAAGGAGCAGTACCCCTGGAGCAAATGTTAGCTCTACTTTTAGTTTAGTTTTTTGAGGAAGTGTACAATTTCCATAACGGCTATACTAATGTCCATTCCCGCCAGCAAGGTAGAAAGGTTCCTTCCTGCATTCTCAGTGGTATACATGTATGTGTGTGTGTTTATTGATTTTTGTGTTCTTGAAGAAAAACGTTCCAAGGGTTAGGCGGACTCTCAGTGCATTGGTTTCCATTTTCTTGGTGGCTGGAGATGTTGAACGTTTGTCACTTAGTGGCCACTTGGACCTGTATTAAAATAGACACAGATACATACTGCTGTTCTCAGAGGCATCCTACTAGCCAAGTGTTCATTCCAGAACTCTGTTTATTTGAAACTTCCTGAAACTACAGTGGGAGACAGGACTCTAGTTTTCCATAGTGGATTTACTAGCTTGTGGAGTGGTTTCTGAGTGAGTGGTGACGCGGACCCTTGTGAAAAACACACTGGCCAGTCCAGAGTTGTACAGTGCCCAGGCAGAAGGCTGTTTTCCTAACTTCCTTGAGTCAGGATCTTTTGGCGGCAGCACCCTGTTCGGTACTGTTAGGTGACGTATTTCTAGCAGTCACTGTCTGCAATCCATTTCCACACCAGCATTCTTGTTAATGTTTGTGTTAATTACTTGTTGCTGAGACAAAATACCCAATGCCCAGAGTTGAAGGGGAAAGGTCTGTTTGGCTTACGGTTTGTAGAGGTTCAGTGGATAATAGGCTGACTCAAGGCAGGGATGGCATTCGCAGAGGAGGAATAACACGGCGCACACAAGACAGCAAAGGTGACAAGAAGATTTAACAGCGTCTGCCCCTTTAATCCCATCCGGACTATCAGGATTAGGGCGGTGCTAAACCATCACTCGGGAGTAGTGGGTTAGAAATCACATGACCTTAACCCCAGCATCACACATTCCAGATTCAGCGTTCTCCAAAAAAGCATGAGGCTTTGGAGGACATCTAAACACACGCTGTTTAACAGTATTTATTTCACTTTATGAGACAAGGTCTTATCTGTTCCTCAGCCTGTCTTTCCAACGACCGGTGTCAGGAGATTGTTGTGCATGTGCTCTGTGCTGACTGGGATCATAGCCACGTGCCACCTCATCTGGTTTGCATGGTTGATTTTTAAATATTGGAATGGAGTACAAGGAGCTCTTTGGTACAGTTCGGCGATCTCTGACAACTGTAGTCACGTAGCCACCTCCCCTGTGTCCGTGCAAAACCTAAACCTCCATCCGTGCTCCTGCTTATTAGTTCGTCCCTCCGTGTCCCATCCTGGGACAACCGCTGGTCATTGTGAAAGCCTGAGTTTCACTTGGTCTGCACCATCACGTAATGCACGGGCTCTGGGATCTGACCTCCTC